GGGCAGTGTGGCTAAGACCAAGGGTTGTGACCCAGTGCTTCCTTGTCACAGAAACCCTCACCATCCTTGATATAGAGGGGAGCATTCTACATGGGGATGCCAGAAGGAAACTCAATGTGTTTTTTGCTCCCCCAGTGACAAACCCATCAGCAGATCTTTAAAGAGCACATAGGCACAATTAAGCATTGGCTTGTAGGTTTACTGGGGGAGAAAAGTCGTATTAATACAGGAAGAGTTGCATAGATTTGTTAACTTAGTATGAATGCTGCATAATGTAGACCAGCTATCTGATGGCTTTGGTAATGAACGTGAAGGCAAGGAGAATAGGCCAAGTGTTGAGATGGGCCCTTAGAGCCACCTTAGGCGAGCAGCACATTCTTCCTTGGAAGAAAACAAAGACAAACAGTGAGTGGGTGGCTTCAGTGGATTTGATAATGTTCCATTTCTTCATTAAGGTTGTGAACATGAGGTGTTTGCTTCCCTATCCTTTATAACATATCTGCATCCTATATAAACATATAGTATACACCAAATATTTTATAACTTAAAATGAAACACTTAATAAGCTAACAAAAAACAGGATTGGGGATATCTGGGTTTGTGGCACTGCAGATGGAAAGGGTGATAGAGAGGATGTGGGAGGCTTCAGAAACTCCCCAGGATGGAATTTTTATTCTGGAACATAGAGTAGACATCCCTCCTTTCTGCTAAGAGTGGATTTTCTACCACACAAGCATTCAGAATGTCTCTTCTCTATTTCTGACCCTTAGAAACAGAGTCTTACCCCTTCCTTAATTCTGAACAGCTCCTCAGAGGTTCAGTGGGTGGGTCACCCTTCCTTGATGCTAGAACCGCACCCCTTCAGGACAAGACCGCGTGAGTTTGTGATCACAGTAGATTATTTGGGGGAGAGCTTATGCTAGGCGGGGGAATCGAAGTGATTAAAGGGGTCTTTTTCCCAACTTATGTAGGGTCACGGGGCCCTCATGAGTGAAAACCTTAGAGTTTCGATGAATAAGATTACTAGAAGGCTTTAGGGGGACACTAGACCACGCTAGCTGGACCTAGAGGAGAGAATCCACGTCTAGAGAACAGTGTAGACAAGCTCAGCAGCTGCCAATCCTTAGTCCATATGTGAGCACCAGCCCTCTACAAAGTATCAATAAATTTGTAGGAGATTATATACACACACAACAGAAATCCATATTGGCATAAAGTCGCCAACTGTCCTTCTTGGGAAACACTGCCTATTATTCTGACTTGGGGTGCTTAAATGCCCTTTCTTTTATGAAACTATGGTCATAACAAATGGTTTAGTAGAAACTGTCTTAACCAATCCCTTTCTTAACCAACTTATTAGATCAACCAACACCCTCCAATCTCTTGGTGAAACATACTATCTTTATGCTTGTGGCAATGGGCAGGTTCTCTTGAAGATCCCCTCGCTTCTGCTCTTACCCGTTGAGGTATGTGTTTAACAAGAGCCAACTGCATTCAGGCCCAAACTTGTTTAGGCCTGTCAAACATGTTAATTATAATTATGCAATTTAATGAATTCATCCATAAACTAACCAATTAAGAGTGTAAACAGAAAGGATATTGACCAATGACAGGAAATGTAAACAAAGAGAACGGTTATTTCTGCAAAAACTAAATCGAATGCTTTAGAGCATGCTACTTTTTTAAAAAGAACATCAAATTAGGAATGAGGGAGAGGACTGTAAAATATTCACGGTGAAAACATAAAAATGAAAAGAGGTTTTGCAATCAGATTGCTTCGTAAGTATCTAGAATGTCTTGCTTCACGTTAGGGAAACTGGAACTAGAAACTCCAGGATGTGATGGTGTGTGTGATTTGTGCAGAAAAGGCAATGAGTCCCTCTTTCAGCAGACCCATCAGCAAAAAAGAGGCTTACAGCTACATCCAAATACTAGCAAATGACGACACATTTAGATATTTTGAGCCAAAGAAAGCATTTAGAGAAAGAATATATCTTTTGTGTGATTCCTTGATTTAACCAACTTTTCCAATGAACTGACCAATAACAATTCCAGCTACATCGGGTAAGAATGCACCTACTTGATAAAATAAAAGGCTGACTACTATATCAGTCCCTCCTGATCTAAAAAATTGTTGATACATGAAATCAACTGATGTTAGCTGCCTGGCCCTTCCTGGCCCCTCCTGCTAAAGGCCATGTATTTTGAAGATCGCCAGTGCAGTATATTTTTCTCCCTCAACTGACTCTCAAAAGGGCTCTGTCCATAGAGAACGGACTTGTTTGCCAAGGGCGAGGGAGGGTGGGAGAGGGAAGGATTGGGAGTTTGGGGTTAGCAGATGCAAACTATTATATATAGAAAGGGTAAACCACAAGGTCCTACTGTCTAGCACAGGGAACTATATTCAATATCCTGTGATAAACCATAATGGAAAAGAATATTAAAAAAGAAGATATATATGTATGTGTGTATATATAATATGTATAACTGAATCACTTGTTGTATAGCAGAAATCAGCTACACTTCAATTTTTTTAAAAGGGCTCTGGGGCTTCCCTTGTGGCGCAGTGGTTGAGAGTCCGCCTGCCGATGCAGGGGACGCGGGTTCGTGCCCTGGTCCGGGAAGATCCCACATGCCGCGGAGCGACTGGGCCCATGAGCCATGGCCGCTGAGCCTGCGCGTCCTGAGCCTGTGCTCCGCGACGGGAGAGGCCACAACAGTGAGAGGCCCGCGTACCACAAAAAAAAAAAAGAGAGAGAGAGAAAAAGGGCTCTGTCTTCTGAAAGCCAGGAATATACACATAGCTCTCAAAAGGAGACTATCCAAACCCTCCAATTTTCATAAAGTGGAATCTTTAAATATTAATAATTCAAAAAGCAAAGGAGGGAAACCCCGGAAACTTTAGTCAGGTTATAAATAATCGGGCACTCAACCAGAACTGAGTGGTTAAATATCTTGGAGTTTGTCTTAACAGAATGTGCTTTCCTGGAAAGTGGTAAATGCCACCCTCACTCAGATCAGCAGAACCTTATCTGAACTTTCTCTCTCTTGCAATAAAGGTGCCAGTCCACAGCCCAAAGTCTGCCTTAGCAGGGTCTTTACGGGGCAGCCGGATACGGTTGAGACAACACCTAGATGCCAGTCTATAAACATTATGAAACAATTTCCCTTCAAACCTCTTGCACATGTTTGCCTCCCTTCCCCCACCCTGACTACCCCAGCGCTCTCAGGACTGAACAAATCAGGCTGGATTCAGGGCAGAGTCCTGTAGTCACGACCCCAAACCCAAAGAACCTAAATGCCTCCTGTGAGGACCACCAGTCAGAAATCTGCTCCATCCAGCTATAGAACGGACTGGACAAATTTCACAAATATCATGGGCTACTCAACTATATCTCTAAGGACATGAAAAGGTCTCTTTTCAGACAGCCACCCATCCAGATGGCTGGAAGCTGGGATAAAAACATTATATCCAGCGATATATCTGGTAGACACTTTTTTAAAGCTTGAATGAGGCAATTAAAAGTGTGAATCAGGGCTTCCCTGGTGGCGTAGTGGTTGAGAGTCCGCCTGCCGATGCAGGGGACGCGGGTTCGTGCCCCGGTGCACAAAAAAAAAAAAAAAAAAAAAAAAAAAAAAAGTGTGAATCAGAGTGAATCTGTCTTCTAGGCTGATTTACCTTTCGTCGGCTCAGCCAGGCGGCCAGGACCTTCCACATCCAGCCCATACCCACCGTCCAGACAAAGTCAGGGTGGGGGAGCTGGCAGGAGGGAAGTCCAAGAGGGAGGGGATATAAGTATGCATATAGCTGATTCACTTCATTGTCCAGCAGAAGCTAACACAACGTCGTGGAGCAATTATACTCCAATAAAACAAAAAAAAAGAGGAAGAAGCAACCGGACCCCTCCAGCCAAATCAAACTGAGCTGAACACCAGTCTGTGTTCCCAGATACGTCACAAGTTTCATGACAGTAAATCTTTACTAGTATCTGTGGTAGATTCCAGAGAAGATGAGTCCCCTACAGTGCAAGAGAAGCTTGTACTGAGCGATTCTATTTTGTGCGGGCTGCTTAAAAACTCAGCAGTAAAGGCAGTTTACGCACAACAGTTAAAATGGCGCAGTGACGCCATTCAGAAAGTGACTGTCTGTTATGACTTATTCATAGAGCTCAATTCACTCTCATTTTGTTCTGCTTTGAACTTTTTCACTTAAACGTCTCTCTATAGGCACTTCTCGCTCTGTAAATCTTAAAACAACCTGGATCAAAAACACTCTTACTCTGACCCACTCAGCTCAAGTGACCAGCCCAAGAATATTTAAGCTTGCTTGGGCTCCGTAAGCTCTCCCAGGATGATAAAGCCCTTGAGATTCTAGGGAATCATCTTTCAGGGAGTGAGGGCAAGAAGAAAGGGCAGCCCATGCTGAGATGAGATGGCCATCCACTAAGGCCACCTCCGCCAGACTACTTGGGAGGTCCAGAGCTGTGAGAAGTTGGGGAAACCCCAGGACACACTGATAATGGCCCAACTAAAAATCCCTGCGGCCCCAATACCTGCTGGGGCTCTTGTCTGTGACCCTCAGGCAAAGCTGGTCCTTTCTTCCCAAGTCACGACTCCCTTCTCTGACACTTCCCTCCAGCCCCAAACAAAAGAAACCCAAGCAAAGGAATAGACCTTTGTCCTCCAGTCAAGGGGAATCATGGCACCTCACCGCTCTCATTTCGGGAGGGGAAAAAAAAGTCTCTCCACTGCATGCTGCTGGGAAGGGGATCCTGAAATCCCACCTGGTTGCCCAGGTGACCCAGGGGTCCTTTCCTCACATGATGGACATGGGTGTCCCCGCTCCTGAAAGCTCACCCTGAGTTCCCAAGTCTGACCCATCACGTTACTTATTCATTCGGTCAACATATAAATATTCAAGAACCCACCCTGTACCTGACATTAAACTAGGCACGGGGGATACAGCAGTGAGTAAGACAAATTCCCCACGTCTGGGCAGCCTACAGCCTGGTGGAGAGGGGGGAATCATTAAACCCATGTGCCAATAAACAAGTTAGCTCATAAAGTAGTAAGTACTACTTTTTTTTTTTTTCGCGGTACATGGGCCTCTCACTGTTGTGGCCTTTCCCGTTGCGGAGCACAGGCTCCGGGCGCACAGGCTCAGCAGCCATGGCTCACGCGCCCAGCCGCTGCGCGGCATGTGGGATCTTCCCGGACCGGGGCACGAACCCGCGTCCTCTGCATCGGCAGGCAGACTCTCAACCACTGCGCCACCAGGGAAGCCCAAGTACTACTTTTACTTAGGGCAATGTGACAGAGAGGAATCAGCGGTGTAGCAGGGGCCACTGCTGTTAGGGGGGTCTGGGAAGGCCACCCTAGGAGGGAACATTTGAGCTGAGTTGTGATAATAAAAATAAGCTTTTTTTTTTTTTTGGCCACAGCACGTGGCTTGTGGGATCTTAGCTCCCCGACCAGGGATTGAACACGGGCCCCTGCATTGAAAGCATGGAGTCCTAACCACTGGACCGCCAGGGAATTCCCTTTTCTCCTTTTCTCCCTCTCTCCCTCCCTCCCTCTCTCCCTGCCTTTCTCTCTCTTTGGCAAATCTAACTATTCACATATCCATTGGAAGACCATTCCAGAAAGAAGGAATAGCAAGTGCCAGTGCCCTGAGAAGGGACCACGTATTATCTTGTTAGAAAGATGGAAGAAAGTCCAGTGTGGGTAGAGCAGGGCAGGTGAGAGGGAGAGTAGCCAGAGAGAGGGTCTTAGGGGCAGGCAGGGACCCATGGACCCTGGGGGCCTCCTGGGCTGTGGAAGAAGCCACTGGAAGGTTACAAGCAGGGAGTGATCAGGTCTGTGCTTTAAAAAGATCCCTCTGGCTGCTGGGAGGAGACTGGACTCAGGAGCAGAGAACAAGAGGGACTCCAGGCCGGCAACTGGACTAGTTTGGTAACCATGGAGATGGCAAGCTGGGATGAGATTCAGGATTCCAGAGGGAGAGCTGCCAGGACCCTAGAATAAAGACAGCAAGTCCAGCGTCTGTATATACTCGATGACTGTCCCTGTGTGAGTAGCTGTGTATAGACACACACACACACACACACACACACACACACACACACACACACACACAAACACACATTATCCTCCTTATACACACAGTCCAGGGTGGTGGCCCAGTCTCCAGACTCTGGAGCCAAAATGCCCAAGTTCAAATTCTAACTTATCCACTTGCTAGCAGTAAAATTTGGTAAGTCACTGAACCTCTCTGTACCCAGATTCCTCCTCTGTAAAATGGGGACAATAATAAAGGCGTCCTCTTAGGGTTGTGGTGAGGATTAAATTAGTTACTGTAGGTAAAGCCTTTAGGGAAGAGTACCTGTTACATAGTATATTTTTTCCTATTACTGCTGTAACAAATTACCACAAATGTAATGGCTTCATTAACACAATACAACTTTATTCTCTTACAATTCTGGAGACCAGAAGTATGAAATCAGTTTCACTGGGCTAAAGTCAAGACGTCGGCCGGGCTGGTTCCTTCCGGGGGCTCTGGGGAGGATCCGTTCCTGCCTTTTCAGCTCCTGGAGGCTGTGGCGTTCTGTGGATCCTGGCTGCATCACTCCGACCTTTGCTCCCACCATCACACTGTCTTCTCCTCTGTGACCTTCTCGCCTCCCTCCTATAAGAACCCTTGAGCTTATATTCAGGGCCCAGCTGGATAATCCAGAATCATCTCCCCATCCACAAATCCTCAGCTCTGTTACATCTGCACAGTCCCTTATGCCACAGAAGGTAACATTCACAGGTTCTGAGGGTCCAGGTGCCAATAAGTTTTAGGACCATTGTTCAGTCCAGCACTCATGATAAGCAATAAATAAAAGTGAATTACTATTATTATTGTTACCATTGTGATTGTTCCCTCAGCAGCTCCAGAGTATATCCCCAGCCCCCTCCCAAGCTGTGCTGGGAGAGAAAGGGATGTGGAAAGACCCCTGTCTAACTCCCAGAAGCTCCCTGAGACTAGGCCCTGAGCCCAAACCATAGCTGGCCACGATGCTGACTGCATCAGGCAGAGGCCTCAGGAACTGGCTGGTCCCATGAGGGGACTGGGGGGCAGGCAGAAAGCAGATGAAGCAGGAACGTACTCAGAGGCCTCGAGTGGGTCTGAGAGGGGCCCCTGGAGCACAGGTTAAGGCTTCCTGATGGTGCTGTATTCCGTGGGTTCCTCATGGCTCCTGCTGGGAATGCGGGTGATGAGTTGCCCCATGTTGCTATAGGTTGGCTCTTGATCTGAAGTTTCCAAAGACAGAGCTGCACAGGCCATGTCCTCCCTGGGAAAGGAAGCCTGCAATGAAGACGTCCTCGGGGTTAGAGAGGCTGGCAGGAGGCTGTGCCCATGGACGGAGGAAACCTTGGAGGAGCCTGGGGAGACAGACCCTCCAGGGCTTCTGGAGTCTTCTCCCAGGCCCCCCAGCTGCTCCCCCCTCCACTCTGCCAGGCACCTTTAGCTCCGGCCACGGCAGAAGACGCTCTCCCTCAATTCCATGCCAGGGCAGCACGTTTTGCACGGAATCCCAGGTCCCTCAGCCTGTCTGGGTCTCCCCTGCCCAGCATGAGGACCGTGTCTGACCGGGCCCTGAGTCTCCCAATGCTAAGACCTGGTGTGGAGGCACTTCAAATGCCAAAAGCGCACAGGAGCTCTGCCAGCAAGTCTTTCAATGGCTGCATATTTGCCCAGCACCCACCCTCCCACGTGGGCGGGAGAAAGCCGGTCCTCAAAGGAAGGGCAACCGCTGGTCCGGTCTGAGCCCGTAGCAGCCCCACCAAGCGCATTACCATGGTGACATACTGAACTTCCTCTGTGCTGGCCTGGGCGGGGGAAGAGGGCCTCGTGGAATTCCGGGAGGACCCAGAGTTTTCAGTCTGCTGCAGGCTCAGGTTTGCATAGCAGATGTCGCCCTCCAGGGGCTGAAGCACCTAAGAGAGGAAACACAGGTTGCTCTTCCACGGAGGGACGCGTGGCTCTCTGCTCCCCTGGGACGCCCCTCTCCCAGCTCCCTCTGCAACTCCCATCTCCTCTTAGCCTCCCACACATCCCCCTCCCAAGCCCTCCTCCCTTCTGGCTGATTCCAGCATACGCCCTGGCCCCTTCCCCGGCCCTTGCAGCTGGGCCATGAGTACATGGCCATTTGGGCACAGGGCTTGTCTGATACATTTGGACCTTGGTGCTCCTGGGAGATGGAAAATAAGGAAGTGAGGGAACGGTGTCTGGTGTCTCTGCTCTGACCTCGGGGACTCTCTTACCTGCTCTGGGGATATCCCAGCAGCTAAAAGACAAAAACAATCAGAGTCAGAAAGCCCATCCAGAGGAGGTGAATTAGGCTTCGGGCTCAGACAGAAGAGACCTGCTTCTAATTCTGATCCCTCAGATGAGAACTAAGGAGACCTCTGCCCATCTATTCCCCACATCACAGAACTGTGCAATCAGCTGCTCAGGTGGCCCTGCCAATTATCAACTCCCCCGGGATTAGGCTCAACCTAAAACTTCTGCTGGGATTCTGCCCGTGACGCCACCATTTCTCCACCTGCAGGGGTCAACTCAAAGTCACACCTACCTTCTCCAGCTATCCAGGCTGTCGAATCCCTCCCTCCCTGGCTCCCAGGGCATTTGATTTATGTCTGTCTCATCACCCTTGTCCCACTGAATTCTGGTTGGTCTTCAGGTGGGATGCGGGCTGCTGGATGGCTGAGCCTGTCCCTCCCATGCCTTCCGGGTGCGGACTGTACCAGGCACAAGAGGGGCTCCATCAGTACAATCTGTCCACGCGACGGGATGGCTGTAAGCTGCTCTCTGAGTGGAGTACCCGAGCTGGGTCATCACTGTCTGGACCAGCTCTCAGGTGCCCTCTGGTTCCTGTTTCTTTCTCTCCCTGCCCTCCCCCTGCCACCGTCACGCCCCCAGCTTCAGAGACAACAAAGAAACGAGAAGATTTTCCCTATGGTTTTTAGATACCGAGGGGGACAGAAAGTATTTTTAACTTAGGTCACGGACAATACATTGCAGGGAAAGTATGATGAACAGGGGTCAGGCTCCCATCTCTCCAAACTACAAGATTCCCCAGGCTGTGGGGACGGAGCAGTGTTAAAGAGGGTCCCGTGAGCGCCCAGATCCCAGTGGGTTCTGAGAAAGGGAGGAGGTGCAGTTAATGTGAGAACGTGGAAGTGGAGCCAGACAGGAAAACTGTTTGGCCGAGGCCAGACCTCGTGACTGACAAGTGCAGACTCGTGAGCAGAGGCCCTTCCCTAAAGGGCAAATGTACACAGAACAAGTAGGGTAGCCTGAGAAAGGGCTGAAGAGAGGAAGGGCAACCATAGGAGTGGCCACCAACATTCTTGAGAAAACAGAGAACTGTGTATGGGTGTGCACATGCACGCGTGCGCATTCGTGTGCGGGCTATGTTGTGTGTGCACACATGAATATGTGTTCATGCGTGTGTGTAAACATCTGTGCGTGTGCATGCGTGAGTGTGCGCGTGTGCGTGTGTTTCTCCATGCCCCCGTGTCTATTCAGTACCTCCTTGACAACCACAGGAACTCTACTAAAGTGTCTGGGTACCCTAGGAAGGCTGCCTGCCTAAGGCCATTGCCATCTCTGCCACCAGGAGCCAAACCAAGAAACAGACAGGGAGGCAGAGCAGAGAGGCAAGAAGAGCAAAGAGGGATGAGCAAGGTAGAATTGAGTCCAAAACCTCCTGGGTTCACCTCCAAGCTCCAGCCCCTCAAACTGCCAGCCGCTGTGGCCTTTGGGACGGCACCCCTTCCAGACTGTGCAGGTATTCCCTTGGGCTGATGGTTCCCGGATGACCATGCTGGCCATCAATCCCACACACTTCCACCCAGCCCAACCCCAGCCCGGGGTCAGCCAGGTCCCCTCACCTTTCTTCTGTCGTTTCAACATTCTCCAAACCACAAGTGAGGCCACCATCAAGAGAAGAAGCAGCACAGCAGAGATGAAGGGAAGGAGGGTGCTGGCCTTCAGGAGGACACTGCTGGGAACGACAGAGGATGCCCCAGGCACCCAGGCTCACCTCCTGTCTTTGGCCTTCTCCCACCCACCTGGGAGCAGGGACAGCCACAGGCCTTGAAACCTTTCGACCTATAGGCCTGAGTTTCCAGTCTGGGAACCCCTACTCCCGGGTGCCCTCAAAGATGTTTTTTAAAAAAAAGAAGAGAGGAGGGTTCCACAAGGCATCTCAGTGGGTCTAGAAGCCAAACAGAAATTGTATGGCAAAGGCTCTGAAAAGGCCTCCCTGCTTCTAAGCTTGCCCCCTGTACAGGCTGAACAGCGTCCCTCCTCCAGTAATTCATATTCATTTGGAACTGGCGAAGGTGACCCATTGGGAAATAAGATCTTTGCAGAGGTCGTCAAGTTAAGATGAGGTCATACTGGATTAGGGTGGGCCTGAATCCGATGACTGGTGTCCTTATAAAAGGGAAATGGGGGCACACAGACACAGAGGGAAAAGGCCATGTGATGACAGAGGCTGACATTGGAGTGATGCTGCCATAAGCCAAGGAGTGCTCGGCTTACTGGCAACCACCAGAAGCTAGGAGAGAGGCCTGGGACAGAGTCTACTTTTGAGCCCAAAGAAGGACCCAACCCTGCAGACACCTTGATTTCATTTCTGGCCTCCTGAGCTGTGAGAGTAAGTGAGAGGAGGCCCCAGCATCCTTGCGCTTGGGGGTCCGGAGACAAGCTCTGGCTGGGACCTGGGACTACAAAAGTCCCCCCTTTGGAAGAGTTTGGGCCAAGTGGGCCACATGTAACAGCAGCATCAGAGCTGGCTTACCCGCTGTTGGATCCGGGGCTGGTCACAGCCGGGGAGCCACTGGTCTCTTCCAAGCTGACTGGCACTGTGAACATGTTGATAGCAGAGGTGGCAGGAGCGGTGGCCGGCACTGTGGTTGGTGCTTGGCGTACAGACCAGGTTACACATTGCTCTGCCTGTTCACCCACCCGCAGGCTTAAATGTGGCTCTGAGCCGGGGGTGGGGTGGGGGGGTGGGGATCATGGGCTACCTGAGGAGTCTGGAGCAGGGCCAAGGGAGAGGGCCTATAGCCTGGACTGCTCATATCTCCCTGGCCGCTAGGAGACTCAGAGCCTCAGAGGCAGGTGGAGCTGGCACAGGTCCGGGGAGGACATCAAGCAGAACTTGGAAGGTTACGGGGGGGCCAGGCTTGCCTCAGGACAAGGGCAGATGGAGTTCAGCTGGAATTCAAACACTCCGGCTGCTTATGACAGGGCCTCGGCCAGTGGCCAGTGCCTCTCACCTTATTTATCCACAAGGACGTGAACAGAATGGGGGCTCTCAGGTGGCTGACATACCCCAGATCTGTGACTTCAAACATGAGGACCAGCCCTGAGCAAAATTCTGAGGTTCAGGAAGAGCCTTTACTTGGGGCAAATTATAAAGCTTTCACAATGGGGATGGTTACATCTCAGGAACGTGGTCAGGATTGAACGAAAAGATGCTGTGCTTTGCAAGTATAACAAGCCTCACACGTTCCCGGTGTGGTGGAGGCTCCGTTGACTGTGCGCCCATCCCCATTGCCACAGGTGCCCAATGAGCTGGTGTCACCTGTCCGAGGGTCAGCAGAAGCAGAGCCCAACAGATAAACTGGGTCAGACCAAGGCACTGAGACCCCTGAGCCGACACGCCCAGAGTGTTTGCATTCTGAAAGGATTTAGGAAGAGAACATCCTTAATCCCAAATGTGTAAATGGCTCATGATGGGATTTCAGGCACCTGGGAATGCAGCCCTTTGATTGTGGAGGCCTTTCCAGACCCCGGGAATTAACCGCAGCAGCCCCACTGTGCTGGGTCTTACCCCCAGGGGGTGGGAGCTGCAGCTCTGAAGACCCAACCCCAAATTCCAGAAAGAATAGGAACACCTGGGCAACAGGGGTCCCAGGAAAACATTAGCAGAAATTAGGGTCTCCGGGTGAGACCATCACCTGGATCTCCATGGGCAATAGACTCGGGCACTGACTGTGCAGAGGGAAAAATAATGTGTCGAGAAAGGCTTGATCCCATCCTGGAGGAGGCCCTGGGGGCCATGAGAGCCTCTAAGGGAAGCCCTGCCCCTCCCAATCCCAGGTGGTCAGTGTGGGTTCCATGAGACCTCAGGACTCCCCCGCCCTCTGTGACAGTTCACTCTGAGTGACAGGTCACTAAAGAGGGACCCCAGGGACCAGGACAGAGCAGGCCCTGAAGAGACACATCTACACATACACATACGCTTACCTGGGTCAATGGTCACTTTAACTTGGACCCCAAGGTCAGTTCCAAATTTCTCAATCCCACACCAGTAAGTGTCTGCATCGTTTAGCCTGAGCTTCTCCATGATCACGGTGATGGTGCGGCTTTTCCTATTGTCCCTGATGGACACGCGGTCCTTTTTCACCTCCTTCTCTGATCCAGTGGTTTTAACGACGAACTTGCAGCTGCTCCAAGCAGCTCCTCGGCACCACCACTTCACAGAGTTCTCCCACTCAGGGGTGTATTGACACTGCACAGTCAACGAGCCCCCCTCTAGGCTGCTCATTGCTTTTGGGCCAGTGATGGCAGATGAGCCTGGAAAACACAAATCCATGTACCTGTCACCTCCCATCCTGAGGGCAGGGCCACAGCCTCCTGCATTGTGAATAGTTCCAATAAACCCAAGGTCCTCATGAGTTAAATAACAGTCAAGAAAGGAGTATGCCTTACACATGAAGACCTTCCGTTCTTCAAAATTCTATCACATCAAAACCACCAGGAAAATCCCATAAAAGCACAACTACAGATCTTAAAGAAACAAAAACATTGACACAGAGCAATAATAGCTTCCTGTAGTTCACCCCCTCTCCCCTTCTCTGTGGCCAGTAAGTCTTTCTATTTCCAGCAATGTCCTTTTGCAACCATCTCTGTGTTACGCTGGTCTGATGGGGAGGAAAGACCAGAGGACCCATTTCCACAGAAGATGACTTTGTGCTGTGGACCTCAGGAGGTTCAGCTGAAACACCCCCATCACCTAGCCCTGGAGAAACTTCCTAATGATTCTAATTGCTTCGAGCGGTTCTACTGTAAACCACCCGGGGAAGGAACACCTTTGAAATTGACCAAAACAGTGATGCAAATCAGTCTCCCCATGCTATGGAATCTGTAACGCCCAGATCCCATTTCTCCCCATTGAATTGCTTTGGTTCCTTTGTCAAAAGGCAAATATGTGGGCTTCCCTGGTGGTGCAGTGGTTGAGAGTCCGATGCAGGGGATGCGGGTTCATGCCCCGGTCCGGGAGGATCCCACATGCAGTGAGCCATGGCCGCTGAGCCTGCACGTCCGGAGCCTATGCTCCGCAACGGGAGAGGCCTGCGTACCGCAAAAAAAAAAAAAAAAAAAAAAAAAAAAAAGTGAGTTCTTTATGGATTTTCCATTCTGTTCCGTTGATCCATTTGTCTGTCCTTTTGCCAATCCACACTGTGTTGAATACTATAGCTTTGCAGTAAGGCAGGTATCATAGAGTAAAGCAGCATTTCCCTATATATATGTTCTTACTCTTTCTTTCATTTTCTCGCCTTTGAAAGATTCAAGATACAGAGAAATGTATCTTTATTATAAGAAAAACAACACTTCAAGCATGATGAAGAATGGCATCAGTGTCAGACCCTGGGAGGTAGCGAGGACCAGGGCAATCTGGAGAGCAAATGCCCCCCGCAGAGGCATGGCCCCCTCCCACTCAGCCCACTGTCCTCATGCAAGCAGGCAGTGTAATTTAAGATCTTTTCATTTTTCTGGAGTAGTCCAAATTCTGGGTTTGGGGTGGAACCTCTCAATTTTAAAACTCTGGCTTATTTAGAAACAACAGCAATCCAGCCCGTGCCACCCAAACCCGTCTGCCGGCAGAGCCTGCTGTCCGGGCTCAACTCAGATCCATACTCATAAGGGAGGTTCTTTCTGTCATTTTCCTTGTGCGTCTTTGTCAGCGTTGGTAGTAGAGATATGCTACTTTCACACAATTCATCTGGCAGATTTCCATTTTTTTGTGCTCTGAGATCAGCACGTAAATAGAGCAAAGGAACTTTGGGTTCTTTCGGATCTTAAAAAATTGGCTAGAAAACTGTCTGGCAAATTCTTCATTGGGGCAAATTCTTTGATTACTTAAATTTTTTTCTCCATGAATATTGACCTATTTAAGCTTTTTTATTGTTCTTTAATAAATTCTGTTCTTTTGTTTTGTTTTTCCCCAAAACTTATCTATTTTACAGTGTATTAGCATAAAGTTCTGCAAATATAAGGTATCCTTTAATAATTAAATTTTTCATACCTATTATAATGACACATTTCGATGACATGTGCTGTTTTATTTTATTGATTACATGTGCCACAAGATTTCCTCCTTCATGCTTTTCCTCCCCCTCTTCCTCTTTCTTTTTTCCTGTGCTAAACCATTTTGAGATTTAGTTGGTAAATGTTACTGTTTTTAGTTTTAAGTTATTAATTTCTCATAGATATAATTTTATTTCCTTGAGATTACCACGTATCTTTTTCTGATTTGCTAAGTTTAAAGCTGGGATAATTTTCTTCCTTTCTAAAGTTAAATAAAGCATGTTGAAAACTAAGAATTTACTTCTGTCCACTTTTAAAGTTAAGATATAATTCGCATATCATAAATTTTACGCTTTGAAAATGTATACTTCCATGGGTTTTAGGATATTCACAAACTTGTACAACCATGAACTCTATTCAATTCCAGAATGTTTTCATCACCCCAGAAAGAAGCTCTGTACCCATTAGTAGTGACTCCTCACCTACCCCTTCCCTGAAGCCTCTGGAGACCACTAGTCTTTCTGTCACTATGGACTTGACTTTCTGGACATTTCATATAAATGGAAGCATACAATATATGATATTTTTTGTCTGACTTCTTTTACTTAGCATAATCTTTTTAAGATTCATCCATGTTATAACATGTGTCAATATTTCATTCCTTTTTCTGGCTGAACATTATTCCATGGTGTGGATCTGCCACATTTTGTATATCCATTCATCACTTCATGACATTTGGGTTGTTTCCACTTTATACATCATTTTGGAACACTGTAAAAGCGTTTTTCTTATAAAACAAAGCATGAATCTATCCTATGACCTAGTAATTTCACTTCTAGATAGTTAGCTAAGAGAAGTTAAAAACAAATGTTGGGGCTTCCCTGGTGGCGCAGTGGTTGAGAGTCCGCCTGCCGCTGCAGGGGACGCGGGTTCGTGCCCCGGTCCGGGAGGATCCCACGTGCCGCGGAGCGGCTGGGCCCGTGAGCCATGGCCGCTGGGCCTGCGCGTCCGGGGCCTGTGCTCCGCGACGGGAGAGGCCACAACAGTGAGAGGCCCTCGTACCGCAAAAAAAAAAAAAAACAACAACAACAAATGTCCACAAAAAAGAATTTTTATCACAGCTTTATTTATAATAACAACATATTAGAAGTAACTCAATGGAGTGGGAGGTTGGGGTGAGCAGATGTGAGCTTTTATATAGAGGATAGAGAGACAGCACGGTCCTACTGTGCAGCGCAGGGAACTATAGTCAATATCCCGTGATAAACCCTAATGGAAAAGAATATATTTTAAAAGAACGTATATATATGTATAACTGAGTCACTTTGCTGTATAGCAGTAATTAACACAACACTGTAAATCAACTATACTTGAAAGAAAGAAAGAAAGAGAGAGAGAAAGAAAGAAAGAAAGAGAAAGAAAGAAGGAAGGAAGGAAGGAAGGAAGAAAGAGAGAAAGAAAGAAAGAAAGAAAGAAAGAAAGAAAGAAAGAAAGAAAGAAAGAAAGAAAGAAAGAAAGAAAGAGAAAGAAAGAAGAAAGAAAGAAAGAAAGAAAGAAAGAAAGAAAGAAAGAAAGAAAGAAAGAAAAAGAAAGAAAGAAAAAGAAGGAAGGAAGAAAGAAAGAAAGAAAAAGAAACTCAAATGTTCACCAACAGGGGAACAGGTAAACAAATAGTAGCATATTCATAGTAACAGCATAGTACAGAATAATAAGAAGGAGTGAATTAGTGATACAAAAAGCAACATGGATGAATCTCAAAAAGACACTGAGTGAAAGATCAAAAGAGAATAAACTTCATGATCCCGTTTATGCAAAGTTCTACATTAGGCAAAATAAGCTTTGGTGATAAAAATTGCAACAGTGATTCATGGGTGGGGGAAAGATTGGGAGGGACACTAAGGAACTCCAGGTGATGGAAATGTTCTGTATCTTGATAGGTGATACAAGTTACACGAATTTGTCAAAACTCAGAATTATACACTTAAGATCTATACGTTTCACTATATGTAAATTATACCTTAATTTAAAAGACTCTTATGGGATGCATCTGGAGTTATGCTTAAGGACACTTTATAACGTTAAATGCATCTATTAGAAAAGTAAAAAAGGACTTAAATTTAATAAACATATACTTCAGAAGTTAAACGAAAAACAGAAGGAGGAGTAGGAGGAAAGAAGAAAGTAGAAGAAAGGAAATAATGAAGTTAATAAAAATTAATGAAGTGGAAAAAATCATATAATAAGGAAATCAAAAAAGCCTAGAGTTGGTTATAAATAAATAACCCTAATTAGATATTCATTACAGAAAGAGAGAGGTCTAAATAATGAATATCAGGAATGAAAATGGGGACCTCAGTACATACCCTGCACACATTAAAAGGATAATAAGGACTTCCCTGGTGGCACAGTGGTTAAGAATCCGCCTGCCAATGCAGGGGACATGGGATCGATACCTGGTCCGCGAAGATCCCACGTGCTGCGGAGCGTGCGCCAAAACTACTGAGCCCACGCACCTCGAGCCTGTGTTCTGCAACAAGAGGAGCCACCGCAATGAGAAGCCCGCGCACCGCAACGAAGAGTAGCCCCCACTCGCCACAACTAGAGGAAGTCCGCGCACAGCACCGAAGACCCAATGCGGCCAAAAAAAAAAAAAAAAAGCTAACAAGAGGATAAGGCAATAATAGGATAGGATAATAAAAGGATATCTAGATAAGATTATGGCAATAAATTTGAAATTTTTTGGAATAAACAGATGCTTAGCAAAAATAATACAATGTGCTAAAACAACACAAAAAGAAATAGAAATCTGAATAATCTTACAACTATTTAAATAAATTAAATCCATTATTAAAAACCTCTCCAAAAGAAAACTCGAGACTTACACAGCTTCAATTGAGATATCTATTTACTAAACATTGAAGGAAGAAATAATGTCTACCTTACACAAAAGAATTCTGAAACAAAGGAAAGGAGGATGCAATCCCAAATCCATTTAATGAGACTGGCATAATCTTGATGCCAAACCCTGACAAGGGCAGTGCAAGAAAGAAATATTATAAGCAAATATCACTCATGAATATAAGTGCAAAAGTCTGAAATGAAAAATCAGCAAGCTGAATTCAGGGAATCTTTTTAAGATTCATGCATGTTATAACATGTGTCAGTATTTCATTCCTTTTTATGGCTGATCACTATTCCATGGATCTGCCACATTTTGTATATCCATTCATCAGTTCACAACATTTGTTTTACCCACTTTACACTAAGA